AGAATAGAGACAGCCACATCAGTGTCGGGTTTGGTATGGATGTATATTTGAGTATCGTCAGCGTAAAAATGAAAGCTGAGGCCATGTCATTTCTTAGCTGCATAGTGTTGTGAGTACTAAGAGATACTAAACCAGATATTTTCTAAAACATTTTAGAACACCAAACCATGTTTTATGTAGTGTGCAAATAGAAGCAGAAATAACATGCGGGAAATGTAAAAGTAAATATATGAGAGGTAACCAGTGTTACAGTGTAAGACCAGAATTTGTAGATATTTTCTGTTAATGTTTAAATATAGCTGTGCTGAATAAGTAATCCCTGCTAGCAAACCATGATCTGTTAGCAAAACAGATTGTATCCCTCTTCTTATTGTATTCTTTTTGTATGAATTCTATTAAAGTGCAGTTTTCCACAAAATACTTTATATAAAATAAAACTTAACTGATTGGCCAATCAGATGATGGGCTAAGTGATACAGTATATCTCTGTTAAAAAACCCCGCCTATTAGCTTTATAGAAAATCCTCAAATTACTCAGAAGTCTTAAATCAAATACCTAGGACAGTCTGCAAGCCTGCAGCATCAAAACCCAGCAAATCGGTCAACAAGATACAGCTTGAAGGATCTTAAGAGTATAATTAAGGGAATGTTTTAACACATGAAACAGCGCAGCATTGAAATAAACTCTTAAACTGCAAGCAGCCAACTAAGAGTCTTCAGAACTGATGTCACATCAAATATGGCACAGCCCCCTCTCGTTTGTAACCTTTCCTATGCTCTTAAGTTTAAGCTTCTGATAAGGTAAATCAGTTAGGCTATAGCTAAGAAAAGAAAAGAAATCCCAGGTAATAAGTACTGATCAATGACCACACCCCCTTCTTTGCTTTCCAAATGGACATTTGGATCAACAAGCTTCTTGTAGCATGCGGGCATTGATTCTCAAAAAAAGCTCCAATCCTAGCACCTCTTATCTGGTGTATTTAACTGACAGGCAGGTTAATGCCTCAACTCTCAAAATGTCGGTTTGTGGGAAAATGAACTTTAAAAGACACAAAATGAACTTAAAATGAGACTGCTTGGCATTGCTTTGTCGTCGTGCCCAGGCCATGGTAAGGGATGTTCTCTCTCGTGTGTGACGGGCTCGGTACCTTATGTGGCATGCCGTTTTGTTTCTGTCTTCAGGCGGACCCCAAAGAGAGATACTCCGTGAATGAGCTTCTGTCAGACCTCGAGAGCTGCCAGGCACGCCGTGTCCTGCTGTTCGTGGAGCAGAGCTACAGCACCACCCTGGCCAGGAAGCTGCGCAGCTCTGGGAAGCATAGTAATGTGGCCCTGCTCAGCGGAGCACCCTGGGGAGGCACCTTCTCTCAGTTCTGGGGTGCCCTGCACCCGGGGCAGTGTCTCGTTGACCACTTGCGCAAGGTGAGGCTGTGACCGAGAATGAACGGAAGCAAACACACACCCACACACAGTTACTGTACATGCGTACATATACAGTGCATATACAGCCATATAGAGTGGCCTATTCCATGTAAAATAGATTTTGTAACTGTAAACAAAAGCTGTCACACCTGAAAATAGTAACTTGGGAATTGTCTGCCAAAGACCTAAATAGGCTGAGTGGCCCCATTTCACGAAACCATTCTATCGCCAGACATTTAAAAAACATCCGAGTTGGTAGCTGCGTCGGCGTGCATAGGCCACAAAGGAACAGATAAAGGTTCATTCCATGTTGAAAAATAAAAAAAAGAAACAACACAGGTGCTGGGTGAATACCAAATGTCAGAGGGAATCGGGAGCAGTCTTCATCTGGTACTGTGGGCAAGGTGTTGTGTACATGCTGTGTACAAGGTTAAAAACAATGAGCTGGTGTGCACAGGTTTTACAGGAAGAGGAAGAATTGCCACAGACAAATTGCATTCCTCTCAGGACAGCTGAAATGATCAGATCCCCTGGCACCATATGGGCGTAAAGGACTGTATTGTCTGATGTACTTAAAATAGGTGAACCCAGGGAGTAAGTGCATGTGCCACCACAGATGTTACCAAGAGAGTGAAAGCTTCATGTAGAACCTAGTAGTAAGATGAAATCATCCCACATAGCTTAGAAATATTATTGAGGGGTGCCGAGACAATTTCCAGTGTTTGTTATGATTTGTAAAGGCCCATTTGATTGCTATAAAACCTATGACCTTCTGTGCAGTGTGAACGGAAGGGTTATCGTAGACCTGGTGTAGATACAAGTGGAACATTTGAATAGGATCATATTGACAAATGAGTGACAAAAACTACGCACTGTAGAACATCCCATAGATAGTTCCATTCTGTGTAATAGTTAGTTGATCAAGAGTTTGATCCAATGTATGGAAGAGGTGTCATTTATTAATTGGAAGCAATTGGACTTCAAAAACTGTCTGATCGTGACGCATAAGACAACACATGTACATTTCCATCCACAAAAAACCTTTAATAGCTTTATGTCTGCGTTTAAGAGTGACATCGGTCACTGGAGCTAATAAGTCTTTGCCTTTTAAAAGAGGAGGCAAAATTAGAGCTGAGTTGTGATCTTTATGATAAGAGACAGCTTTGAATGAAAAATTTAAAGTTTAGTATTAAGAGGCTCACTTGATTCTGCATCAATAGCAATGTCTCAAATTGAATGCTATCTAAGCCAGGAGATTTCCACTTTTACATATACTCAGCAGCTGTCTTTAACTCTAGTTGAATTATAGGGGCACCTAAAGTTCAGCCTGATCTGGATAAATATAAATGGATTTAGGAGTTTCTAGATTGTGAAAAGGTCTTTACCACTTTCAGCATTGTGGAGATGTGAAGCAGAGTCTCAGAGAACTTTATTAGCTGTTAAGGGCTAGAGAGTGCAGCATTAGTATTGTCCTTGCTAGCCTCAAAAGAAGCTGCTCAGTTTGTTTTAGTCTTAGAGTATTAGGAACTTTGCTCTAATGCTGGTGAGGGTTTCAAATTGACTGCATAATTGACCGAGTGACTACATAATTCTACTCTCCCAGAAGTTACATTTTTGTCTTGTTTTTAATTGTAGAATTCTAGTTTCTGGATGTCCTCTAACTGCATTTTTGTTCTGCTCAAACACAATACCAGTACAAAAACCCCTCATAAAGCATTTGGCACTCTTTAATGCAAAATGGAAGGTGGTTTTGAAGACTACAGTTAATCTGTTTGAAGCCCTGGGAGAAATGTTTTAATTAGACCTCATCTGGAAGTATGAAGGAATTAAAATGCCAGCGTTTGTGATTCCTCGAAGCCTGCCAGTTGAGAACAGAAAAAGAGGCATGATTAGACATAAGGGTTGGTGATTTATTTGTGGAAAATATTAGCAATGTAGCATCCAGCAAAGATGAAGAAACCAAACTATAGTCAGTATAAGAGTATATTTTGTGACTACATGAAAATATTTATCAGTCACCTCTCTCGCTAAGCTCTGGGGACATTTAGAAGCAGAGCAATGAGACAGAGACTCTCTTCCGCACTTGAAGGTCTTGACTAGAGTCTTTTCTTCCATTCTTGACAGGTACCTTCCACGCCACGAATGCCAGAGACTGATCTTGGGCTTCTTAACGTCACACTGTCCGGAGCCCCCTGCAATGCCACCCCTCCCTTGACAGAAGCTGAAATGCGCAAGGAGTACATGGGCTGTCAGAACCTGCCTACTGCACTATGGTACCAGCACCTACACAGACAAGGGGACAAGCAGGACTGAGAGATCCAAAGGGGCACACACACCCACACACACTCCCTGGCATGGAAAATCGCAACCCCCACACCCTTCAGCACCCTCCTCAATTCGGAATGCGACGAAGTTCCACACCTCTAGACCAGCATGGATGTGTTTTTTGTTGGCTTTGCTTATGTGTGTTTTATGTAGGCGCTGAACCAAGACGGTGGGGGGCGGGGGGGTCTGTCCTTAAAATCTGCTTCTGGCAAGATGGAGAGTCATCCACATGCCAGGTTATCTGTTTTTCTAATCCAGTTATAACTTTGCAGTACTGAGAAATAAACAACTGTATGGGAGGATTACATGGAGTTTTGCTTATACACAGTGTAAGCACTTATCTGGCACACAGCGGGAATTGGATTGCAAGAGAGAGAAAGAAAAAAAAACTTAATTAGGATTTGTTTGTAAAGGAGTTGCTTCTCGTCCTCATGTTGAACTCCATGTCTTATATGGTTATTCCTTCTGGAAGGAACATCTTGCTTGACAGCATGGCTGAAATGACAGTTTATCTACAGGGAGTAGTTTGGAAAAGCGCTGTGCAATGGGCAGTAAGTTCATATGCAGGACAGCTCAGCCTTGTGAGGAAGCTACCCACGGTTCAGGGCAGTAGAGCATGAAGAACTGTTGGGTTTGAAAGGAGTCTTGATTCACGTTTAGTAATCTGTGTTGGAGTACGATTAAAGTGGGCTCACTGGTCAAAATAATTAGGAAACTGCCTGAAGTAACATGTCCTGCCTTTGTAAGCAGCAAGAAGCAATCTGGACAGGAGGTGGCATGTGTTCTACAGGGTTTCCAAATAATAACCTTCAGTTGATCCTGTGATGTAGGATTAATGGCATGTGTAATTGAATTGAGTCCTCCAATATTCAGTAGGAGGGAGATCCAGAGATTTGTCTGGCAAGAGAAGCTTCTCACATGCTCTGCTTGCCACAAATTGCCTGCCACTAAAAAAAAGAGGGGCGTTCTAATACTTTATCCAGAGAACATATTCCATCACAAACCCTTGATGTACTTTGTGAGATGAGAATGATTAGATTAGATTAGTTTCTTATGCAGTGTGGCATTTTGGCTTCCAAACACAACTGAACAGAATTGAAAGAAAACGAATTGGCTTGTTTTAGCATTTGTCACTTGTGGTATCAACTGGAAGTCATTTTAAAAACAATGTAGTTTTAGAGTCAGATCTATTTCGGTCTTAAATCCGTCTATTTGTTTCTGGGTTAGGGAACCACCAAAAAGAAGCCACAGATGTCTCTTTAACCCAGGGTTCATTCCAATATGCATTAAAGGGGTGTTTAATTTCTCTGTCTGATTTGCACATGGGGCTGTAGGTCAGTTTTCAACTGAGCTATGCATTCATGGTCACTATATTAAAAGATGATATCATTTCATCTGCTCTTGGGGCAGATGCTCCTGGTCCAAAACACAGACACAGAATAATAGCATTCAAGGCTGATAAGGGTCAACAGCTTTCTTGGGCATTATAGCAAGCAAACCATAAACAGAACATAATACTTCCGAAGTATGGCAGACAAGGTAAAAGACTATATGAAGTAATACTTGAGTGAAAAATTGTGTCGTATCATCTTCTTCAGGTCTCTACCAACAGAGACACCTTTGTTCTTATTGTTGTCTGAGCTTGCTACTCAGCCTGGGGCATTGCCCTTTGATATTCCACTCCTATATAAGCTGTACTAGGGTTGATTTGTGTTTACACTGTCATTGCGATGGGCCTCCAAGATGGCCTGAGCCACCTTTGGAAGTGGTCAAGATTTAAAATGGATTAGGGTCATCTGCTTGTTTTTATAGCACTCCCAAATTGGAGAGGAGATGGTCTCAAAAGGCCCAGTGCAAACAGTGTAAAGTGAAGATAATTCCCTCTTGTATTAAAGCCTAGTTTTATCTTAAGCTAACATCTTTTTTTAAAAACTGCTTAATGAATCCCTGATACCTGAGCACACAGGGAGACTGTTTACTATTTTATACTCTTGTCAAGATTGATTTTCTTTTAATTTAGGTCCATTATGCAGAGCTTATCCAAGGAACAGCAACATCTTTGTTCCTGCCTATTTATTATTCTTTTTATTTTCATTTAATCCATTTCAGTTTTAAATTGATTTCAGAACATTTGTCAGAATGACAAAGATTTTCAGGGGTAAATCCAGCCAACGTTTAACCGACTTGAGTTTTCACTGTTCTTTGTGTGAATTCACAGAAACCCAGATGTGGCGCACATGAATTTGAAAAATGAAGTTCCAAAAATCCTTTTGCTAAAGCCTTTGCGTGTCAGCTAAGAACATTGATTTAAAAAGTGGTTGGGAATCGCCATCAATTGGTATAATCCTCAAAATGTACATCTACATATACATATATCCTACATACTGTACACAGTGTAAAGAAACACTGAGTGGCATCAAAGCACAACAAATGCTGTTGTTTAGCTTTCCAAAGAACATTGCTCTCGCTGTGTATGCCAACCAATGCCTTTGATATACATGCTTGTCCCTTAAATAACAAAAATGAATCCAAACAATACTGCAAATCCATAATAAATGAAAGTTAACATTTTTAAAACATACATGACAGGTGGTTCATTAACCACATTTGTATGAAAACACACTTAAGGCACTTAGAGATCAGCATTATTATTTAAATAAGCCTACCAAGTACTTAAAGAGAATCCAGGATCAGATGAACAAATGAGCCAGCCATATAATATATATATATATAATGCAAATAACGATGCAAGCTGTTGTTGTTAATAGTGTGGCTATCATAGTAAATGTTAAGTGTTTTCCTTAGTTTCCTTGAAATTCCATTGTTCTCAATGAACACAAGATTATTACTATGTAAAAAAAGCATCATTTCTGACAAAAAAAAAAGGTTTTCATGGTCTTCAAAATGTTCAGTGAAGGAGCCACCACTGCTATCATGTCTTGGCACTGCTTCTTGTGCTAGCAGTCGGAAAGTGGTTTATGGAAAAAAAAGGAAAAATGAAAGCTTTAAAATTATTTTTTCGTAAACAGATAAAAATATGATTTCTGTCCCCGAATAAAATGTGTTTGTCACTTTCCATTTTATTTTTGTCTCAGCACCATCATTTGTAATTGTGAAATTTGGCAGTATTGCCCGAGCATGGATGTTATTAAAATGTATTGTAGTCATTACTGTGGCTCTCTCAACACTATTGAAATAAGATTACTTATTATTGTACCTATGTAGACACACATATCAAAAGGAGAGTGTTTTAATGTACCTCATATTTAATTTTGTCTCTTACAGTTGTTCTTTGAGAGAGTACACCTTACACCTTTATGATGCTATAATACTACAATAAAAAGTGAACTCAGCATCTGAAAGGGCTTTTCACAGTACACACAAATCAAAATAAGCAACACATCAATGTTTGATTATTATACACGTAATAGGTTTGTGTGAACATATCCTTCACACAAAAAGATTATCATGAACAGCAGTCACAATCAACAACACTTCACATCATTGCTCTTATCCCTTCTAAGGACAAATCTGGCTTTATGTGAAATGCGGTAACAGAAATATGTGCCTTTTCTGAGATGGTGACCAGTGTCTCTATGTTTAGTCCAAAAATGTTTTGAGAGGTTTTTGCTACTACACAGTAAATTGAAAGAACGGTTTGTAACTGCTCCATCAAGATTCCTGTCAATGTGATTAGCTTTATTATTTAGATTCTCTTGCCAGCTGTTATTGTGAAATGTTTTTCCTGTTGTGCAGAATACTTACATGGTCACTAATGGTCCACTCCTATTTGGAAAGCCGAATGTTATCAGTTCTACCTTTTATTCTATTGTGTAAACTCCTTATTTGGAATATGAAAGGTAATATTCTAACTTGGAATGATTGGAATACTGTGAGTGGGATATTCCTCTAGTTTTTGGGATACTTTAATTTGCTCCAGAGACATAAAACCATAGCACTTTGTCTCAAAAAGCACTGCTACTTTTTGGTCCAATAATGAAATCATGATTTTGAAAGAACAGGAGATTGTAAAATGTTTTTAAGGAAAACAACAGAGGATTTTCAAAGGGATACGCATTTGGGGCTTGAGTGAATTATAGACCACATCTGTGAAAGTAAAAATGACAACCAAATAGGAAATGCAGAAAACAAAATGCTGTCACTTCTTAAATATAAGAACACCAGCACTCTACAAAAACACACAGGTAAACCACAAACACACTTTCATTCTGTTTTGCAGTGGGAAACAGACTATGTATGCTTGGTAGCTTAAAGGGAATATTCTGTTTACCATGTAAATGCAGAAAATGAGAAATTCTGATGCATGTAAACTGACCATTTCACATACATTCTAATTTCTAATATTTCAAGTATTCTGAATACCTGTGCCGTGTAAATTCAGCAATGGTGTCACATTTGGCAAGTTGTAAACTTATGTCCTATGAGTTAAAACCAATAAAAAAGAAGTAGTGTGTATATTACAGGGTTCAGGACATTTTGTAAGTTATTTTCTGTATATATCTAAGTGTTTGTTGTATAAGGTGGTAGTTGTCCCGTTTAATGTTTTGTGACAGATGTGTTGAAATTAAACTTCTCTGTTGTGTATTTTAAACCACAGAGGGTATATGCTGCTGTATATAGTTGTAATAAATTAACTTTTGTACATAGTGAAGATTTGTCTTTGTTCTTACAGAATGAAATATTGGTAATAGTAGAGGTAAAATCTAAAACAGTTTAAAATAAATGTTTGGGAACAGGTCAAACCCCAAATCGTGTCTACTCCTGCATACCTACATACAGTATAAGTGCTTAATTGTCTACTCTATAGCTGCATCTTTCCTCCTTAGTATGCATCCCTGTCCATTCAATATAATATCTAAGCAGCAGGGTGAAATGTCTAGTTCATAACAACCATCATGACTAGTGCCTTTAAAATTCACCCATCAACAAAATTAGCAGCAAAATGCCACTGGTTCCTACACCATCTCTGTGAAACATTATCTAAGCTGTCTTTAGAACTTTCAGACTGGCACAGCAATCTTTCCCTGCTCAATCAAACAATGACAGTTGCAGCTATTAAACCACTTTTGTGCTGGTCATCTGTAATTTATCTTACATATCAAATCTGAAATCAATTCATTTTAAGCACACTCACAACAAGTAAGGATTCTCCATCTGTGCTATGGGATTGTCATTTGTTTCTCTTCTTCAACCTCACTCAAAGCACTATATTTCAGAAGAGCACAGCCCAAACTTCTTTCTCTAGAAACGCTACTCAAAATGTATTGGTTTCCTTCGTATCCCTCTCATTTGCTCTATCTGAAAACCAGATCCTTGCGCAAATTCTCTTTCGTTTCCGTGAACTGTAGTTTCCATTCCCTCTGTCCTAAACAGACATTTGAAAGACCTGTCAATCTCCTCAACAAGACAGGTATTGCTAATAAGGCTCACTAATTCAATCAACGCCTCTTTTATGAATTAATTAGGGTGTGTCCAAACTACAGAAATAGAGCTTAAATTGAAGGTTCAGGAGAAGGTCAAACTCCAGTCTCACCCATTTCTGCCTACATAAATTACATATAAAGAAAGATGTTTCTCGCTTAATCAATTGCATGTTTCATTTCACATCCCTCTATCACACCCATCTTCACCCCTGCAGCAGGTCTCTGGCTTATCCCTCATGAAATAGGGGGGAGAGTTGTGACAACCCTGTCTTTTCAGACAAGCTTGACAATCTCTTCTGCCAGGTGAGCATCACCAGTAAGAATCACTAATTCGCATAATGCCAATAAGGTGTGTGAAAACGACTAAAGTACGAATCTTGTATGTTTAGGTTAACTTATTTACAATGTATTCATGCCACACAAGAATTCTAAATAACATGAACATATGATGATTTTTACATATGGCCTTTAGAATTTCGGGTTCTGTCGCTGAAGATTAGAAAACGGGAATGAACTCCGATGAGCCGAGGGGTCTGCTCCATGTCATGGTTAATCTCTTTTTATTATGTGATAGATGCTGATGGAGCCTTAAATAGCTTTCCTAACAGTTTCTGCATCACTGCATTAATTGCAGCAAAAAGGCTCGTGTCTCCTCTTCAGATGATGTTCCACCTGACCTTCTGTGCTGAGGGACGCTCTTTCTTAGAAAGAAGGAAGTTATACCAGTGCTGTTGTAAAATTGATAAAGCTACAGTCTAGACTTTCTCCACCAGCTCTGCTCATGCCTAGAAGCTGAG